AGTGCTTTGAAAATACTAAATCACATAGAATGTAAGTCGTTGTAATTATGTCTTCTGCCATAGAATTGCATCTTAAACTTCTGTCTCACGGATATCTCAGAAAAAATAAAATCAAGTTAATGGATAAAACAGTTCAGTAGATTCAGACAAAAACAGTTTATAATCACAGTTACAGATTAAAAAAATCCAACATTGAGGGCTGTACCACTGGCACAGTGGTTAAATTCACAAGCTACACTTTGGCAGCCTGGGATTAGTGGGTTCAGATTCTGGGTGTAGACCTACACACCGCTCATCAAGCCATGCTGTGGCAGTGTCCCATATGCAGAAGAGAGGAAGACTGGCACAGATGTTAGCTCAGGGACAATCTTCCTCAAGTAGAAAAATGAAAAAACAAATCCAACATTGAACTAAACCACTATTTCCAGTAAAGAGTAACTGACTCATGATGTGAGACTTATTTGTTTTACTGACTTTCCTATTTAATAGAATTAGTTGAAACCAAATTAGCAAAGCCCTAATTACTATGGGACATTTGGGATGATAATAAAAATAGTTTTGCTAAGCAAAACAATATATTAAAGTGGTTTCATTAGTAAGATTTTACCTGTAGCAATCAAAATTAACTTTTACCTTATTATTATTTTTTTTAACTTTATTTATTCCCCCCCCCCCAAGCCCCAGTAGATAGTTGTACGTCATAGCTGCACATCCTTCTAGTTGCTATATGTGGGACTCGGCCTCAGCATGGCCAGAGAAGCGGTGCATCGGTGTGTGCCCGGGATCCGAACCCGGGCCGCCGGCAGCGGAGCACACGCACTTAACCACTAAGCCACGGGGCCGGCCCTAACTTTTACCTAATTAAAGCTAGATAATCTAAGAGAATCTTAGCACTCATACCATAGGCGATGTTTTAGGCAGAAAATATAAAGATCCCAGATAGTACACAAATAATTTACTGCAAATGTTTGTCAAAATTAAGTTAACCCCCAAATTTTAGATGGCTAAATATTTTCTAGATTTGGGTCTTTTCAAGATTGTCATTCAATAATACAGTCACTGTTGTTCTAGTTGCTATGAGATGAAAATATAAAATTTCTTATCCTTAAGGAGTTTCCATTTTAGATGGTGAAAATACCTTTGTGAGAAATCACAGAACATTATAACAAAACCAAAGTACTTTTAAGTTGAACGGCATGTTATTTGACGTACCATCAAGTTTCGGAAGAATACATCCGTTGTCAGGGACAATGATAGCATCCATGAAGGTACGAGTTAAGATTTTGAATTTAATTTTTCTAGCTGTTTTGGTCTTGTGATTAAGTCACTGTATTTTATCCCCATTAAGCACTTGGCACTCATGTTACAAAATTGCAAGAAAAAATGTCAATATGGGCCGTGAAGACGAACTCATTGATTTGGGCATGCATCACAATATTCCAAAGACAGTATATTACCAACTCTCATTTTAAGTCCTTTTACTTGTTCCAATGGTAGATAGCATCCATTTTCTCAGATACAGTCATGCATCACTTAATGATGGGTATATGTTGCGAGAAATGCATTGTTAGGTGATTTTGTTCTTGTGCAAACATCATAGAGTATCCTTACACAAACCTAGATGTATAGCCTATTACACACCTAGGCTATATGGTACTAATTTTATGGGACCACTGTTGTATATGCGGTCAGTTGTTGACTGAAATGTCATTATGCAGCACATGACTGTAATCTAAAAGACTGAAGTCTTTTCGTGAACCTTTCTGCAGCAAAGTACATGTTCTGTTGATCATGCCAGAAAAAGTTCAATAGGTGTTTTTAGTGTACAGGTTTCTTTCCCACTATCAGCTTCCAGAGGTTAAGTGTAAGATGAAAAGTCTAATTATTTCAGAAAGGGTTACTTCTCCTTATCTCAATTCCATTCAAGTGTAGTCAACAAAAGCAAGAGTGGTTTAGGCAGTCTCAACTTTTTGAAAACTTAATGAGTTTTAGAAGAATCATCAAAATGTATTTAAAGTAGTAATGGTTATTTTACTAACTTCATTTTTATACTGCTCCATGGTTCTTTGTAACTAAGTCCTTAAAGTTAGAATGTCTTTAATTGGTGAGAAATGGATACAACAAATGCTTTAGAGACGTCAAAAGTAAAATGAAATTGGTCTTTAATACGACAGATAGTAAAGACAGAGTGATTTGGTTATTAAGAAGCACAACTATTCAAAACAGATAGAGGGTCTCTTGGTTAAAAAAAAAAAAAAAATGCAACGTTAGTTAAGTTTTGTATTGGTCACCACTGAGACTTTCCCTACTACTTCGCTATAATACGAAGAACTCACTTGGAAAGGTTCATTAATTCAGAACCATCAGTGAGAAGTATGTTTCCAATTACTTGGAATTGATAGAAAAACATGAACTCAAATCTTCTTTTAAACACAGATTCCTCTGGATTTTTTTTCTAATGAATGGGCAAATGATTTCTGGTTAAGATATCTCTTTTTAAACAGGTTGAGGGCCGGCCCCATGGCTCAGCGGTTAAGTGCGCGCGCTCCGCTGCTGGCGGCCCAGGGTTCGGATCCCGGTTCCGCACCGACGCACCGCTTCTCCGGCCATGCTGAGGCCGCGTCCCACATACAGCAACTAGAAGGATGTGCAACTATGACATACGACTATCTACTGGGGCTTTGCGGGGGAAAAAAAAGGAGGAGGATTGGCAATAGATGTTAGCTCAGAGCCGGTCTTCCTCAGCAAAAAGAGGAGGATTAGCACGGATGTTAGCTCAGGGCTGATCTTCCTCACCAAAAAATAAAAAAATAAAAAATAAACAGGTTGAAAATTTGTTCTTTTAAGTAGTTATGTGTCTTAAAATTGTTAATTTAATTATAAAAAGACAAGCATAGACAAACAACCTACACCCTTTCTAGGAGACACTACAAAAGGAAAAAACTTTAGTTCAGCTTCTTTCCAAATTATATTTGCTAGGTTAATAGAGCTTTATTGCTTTTTAAACAGTACATCACACAAACAAGAGATTCATTTAACAGGAAGACTTTTAGACATTTAAATTCTTCCTCACTAGCTAGAACATCAGCAATCAAAAGTCTGAAAACCCAATCTAGCTATTGTGTAATTTATGCTACAGAAGTATACTTTTAGAATTTTGAGCTTAAACATAGACACTTTTTTCTACTGTGATAGTGTTTAGCCACTTTGTGTTTACCTCAGGGTGAGGTAAGACTGGGAGAGGGCACAAGGGAAACTTCTGGGGCACTGGAAATGCTGTATATCTTAATCCAGGTGGTGGTAACATGAGTGTATGCATATGTAAAATTTCACCTAGCTGTACACTTAATATTTACGCACTCTATGGTATATGTTATATCTCAAGAAAAAAGTACAAAGAGTGTTTAGCTACTTTATGAAATGCCCACCAACTATTTCACAGTGAATTGTTAATACGATTTTATAAGTCAAAATGTATAGGGGAAAAACAAATTACCGATGCTCATGGCATAAGGACTGCTAGTCACTTTCAGGTAAATTAACTACATCTGAAGCTAGAGTAAAGCTTCTGTGAGGAGAGGTCACTGGTATTCTATCAGAACTGGTGTCAGGAAGAATACAATGTATCGGCTTAACTACAAAGGATAGAAGTGTTACACAGCTTCAACAACAACTAGAAGATCAGAACATTATCACATAAATGACATACTATGGCATGATTATTTGATTTATGATTATTCATACTCTTTATTTGTGCTTTTTACTGTTTGGGTTTTTGTCATTGTATTGCTTGGACTTCCAAAGAATGGGGAAGGAAAAGAAAAATTAGTTTTGTTACTTATTTTCAACTGTTGTTTTTAGTGTGCCAAAAAGCTGAAGTTATGACTGATTTTAAAATTATGCATTCTACTTCCTATCTACTAAGGGAGAAAGAGTTGGTTTACACAGGAAATATAAGCCTGAAATGTTTTTTACTTTTGCTCATGTTAATTCTCGTCTCCAAAAGCCTTTGAGAGGATTAGCTGCATAGACCAACATTGTTCTATACTAGTAAGTGTTAAGCATATGATGTCACCTTGTTTGTTCCCTTCCTTAAGCTTTTTTTTTTCGGTGGTGGGGGGGGCTTTTTTTGGGCAATTCTCAAAATTCTGTGACTTAATTACCACTGGTTGACACACATGATTGACAAACCTGTTTGAAATGGGTCAAATACCTAAGCGCTGCAGAACAATGCAATTCAACCAGCAAGTCCTCAAAAGAGAGAAAGGCGCTGTGATTAGGTTCCAGTTATTAAGCAACTTATTGCAAAAACATTTTGGCGGTCTGTTTCTGCAATAGGCACAGGTCAAGCTAGTATTTTCTCTCTTAATCACCTCCAAAAAAACACTAGGCTGTAAGAGGTAGGATAAACGGCCAAAGCATGAAGCAACTAGGGCAAATACTAAGGGCTTTATGGAGATCTTCATATTCATCCTCGGCATTGGTTATTGATCATTAACCCTACTAGGGAACTATCGAAGGGAATTTTGAGGCTTATCGAGCCATGAGAAAGGAGATGCGGGAGAGAACCGAAGCTTCTAATAAAAGAAACGCAGCAACAATAGCAGAGGAACAGCTCTGCCCGGTGACGTAATGGCTGGCAGCGGTCCAGCTTCAGCAGAGCTGCTGCTACCTCAGCATCCACCCTCTCCACACGGTCCAGCTTCGGCGCATCTACCGAGCTCCTACTTCTCGAGATGGCACTTTGTTGGTGCCACCAGCACCTTATGTTAGAGGACCAGCACACCGAACAAAGGGTGGTCCTGCTGCTCTACGGTGTCGGAACACACATTCTCACTCCCTCACCCCCAGGCCCCTCAGGAACGAGTTCATCAGCTGCTCAAGTTTAGGGCGCGAACCCTGGCGCACGCTCCAGGCGCGCCTCAGTTCCCCCGGCTGGTCTCGCCCCCCCCCCCCCCCCAGGTGACCGCGGCGGCCCGCAGGCCGGTCCCCCGCCTTACCTCCGCCAGGTAGAGGTTGAGGAGACAGAGCGTGGAGAACTGGAGACAGGAGGGGAAGCAGTAGAGCAGCCAGTGGGGGAAGAAGTGCAGGCGAGCGGGCGGCCGGAGCAGGGGCAGGGAGCCGCTGAGCGAGAAGGCGGCGGAGAAGAGGGTGGTCCTGAGCGCTGCCCACAGGAGGCAGAGGAAGAGGCAGAGGCTCTGGTGGCTCAGCCGCCGCTCGCGGTACAGGAGCAGCCGCCACAGCTGCAGGTAGGCAAAGGCGAAGAGCGCGGCGTAGAGCAGGGCGTGCAGGATGCTCAGCGCCAGCTGCACGGAGCCCGGCACCGCGGCGCCCCCGCCCGGCGTCGGGGGCTCGCGGCCGGCCGCCGAACCCGGCACCGACACCCGCATGAGGGGGACGGGGGGCGGGCGAGAGAGCGCGGAAAGGAAAGGGCCGGACTTGGGGCCGCCGTCGAAAGGGAGAAGGAATTCCCCCCTCACCCCCCACCCACCCCAACCTCCCACCCCGGGAAGCGCCGTGACAGGACCGGAGCCCCCGCAGGGCGGCCGCGGCTCCCCGGACCCCGCCTCCTCTCCTCGCCCCCCTTCCCCCGGGGGTCTCGGCTCCTCCTGCTGCGGCTCGGCTCGGTAGCTTCAAAAACAGCTCTCGGCTGGAGACAATCAGCTGAGGAACCCGAGCATTTGAGGCGCTCGCTCCGCAGCGTGGGCCCTCGCCGATTGGCCTCAGCGGACACGCCCCCCGCGCGCCGCGCTCGGAAGGCCACGGGCCGCGGGACCCGTCGCTCGAGGGCCCAAGCTCTGATTGGGCGCCCACTTCGCCCGCTTTTTCCCGCCCCCTCACTCCCTACCTACGCTGCCGATTGGCCCAGCGCCTGCACACCCGCTCGCGCCGGCGGGAGGACTGGGTGGTCGCCGGTCACCTGGGGCCACTCCCGCTCCGCCCCCCGCGCTTCCCATTGGTTGGAGAGGCCGCACGTAAGGAGCACGAGGAGGGGGAGGAGCCTCGGGTTTTTTTTTTGTTGTTTTTTTGTTTTTGGCCCAGCAGGGTCGCTGTGCTCAGCGCTGGCGGCTGCTGAGCGGAGGCCGGGGGCTGCTGCCAGGCAGGTAGGCTCGGCCCCGCCTTCCGCCTCCCCTCCCCGAGGCGGGAACTGCGGGTCGCGCGCCTTGGGAGGGCTAGGGCAGGTCGATGGCGGCGCGGGTCCTTCAGGCAAGGGGCCGTGGTTTCCGCCTGCAGGGATGGGGTTTTAGACCAGGCGGCTCTCCCCCAGCCAGGGCCGCACCGCAGAGCTCTATAATTTGTCTTAGAACCGGCCTCACCTGGATCCTTCGGAGGGGCGTTTTGCTTTCTTCTTTTCCCCCCAGCGTGAACGGCGAGGAAAACGTGAGCCCTTTGTAGGGAGAGGGCATGGAATGAGGCGAAGGGTAAACGGAAGCTCTAAGTAAAACTCTTCTCTCCATCGGGAAATATCCCTTAAGGAAGAGTGGTAGTAGGATGAATGGATGTACGAGCATCTGTGAGTAGGGGGAACGTGGGTTTTTGAATCTTAAGACTTTGGAACGATGCTCTGGGCATAAGTCTAGGAAAAGAGGCAGAAACAGAAGTGTAAGTCTTTGATGAATGTCCAGAGAGGAAAAAGTGGAATGGTCTGTGCTCCTTAAATTCCATATGTATTCCTTCAGGCCTTCGTCCTGTGTGTGGTAGATGGTGGCGCTGTTCCTGGGGTTCAGAGAGATACAAAACGAATGCTCAATTATGTTTCTGCTGTAAATAAGTGAGGAATAAATAGATCTCCCAGCGTGTAACGGACCGAACATAACATTTGTTGAGTTTTTTTTGTGTGTGTGTTTGGTAATAAAATGAGCAAAGTAGTCTAAAATGAAGAGAAAATAATTTGTGTTCTAAGAATGAGCGGCACATCACAAATTCTGTATCTCTGTGAAAGACACTGTTGCATTTACTGGCGCAACCAAGACCCAGCCTTTCCTAACTCACCATCCTTTGCCCTAATGCTTTGCCCAAAAGAGTGTTGCTACCTTCTTTCCTAGCGAAGTGATCCACAGGGAACTTGCAAGACTATTTTGGACTACAGATTCTGGGACAGTAGTTCACCTAGGCGCTAGATGCGAGTGTGTTTTGGATTCTTTATAGGTGTGCTGACAAACTGGGATAGATTTTTAGGCCTTGCCCTGTTATGTGGCTCTCCCTCAGATGAAACATTCAGCTGAGCAAGTGTGCAGTGCAGCCTAGAGTAGGACACAACTCGCTGTTAAGAAGGTAACAGACCTCATCCAGTATCAGTGCTTTAGAGAAGGATCTCATGCTTACTGGAATTTAAGAAATTCACCTCATGGATCTTTAGAGAATGTGGTTGGGGCAGTGCGCAGTTCTTGAGAGAGGACAGCGTGCTTGTGGCAGCAGTGAGTGAACTGATGGCAGTTATGTGCTTAGGCCCATAAATTAAGCATAAACTCAGAATTGTGTGATATTAGGCACTTGTCAAAATCAAGGGAACATCCTGCCCTCTGGCATGGCCTGTTTTTGTGTTTTCCATAATCAGTGAGGTGCAAGTTTCAGGTCATGAATAGATTTTCACCATGAGGGGTTTTTTCTTTTTCTCCTATATTCTCTACTCAAAGTGATAGTGAATAGCATGTGGATAGTACCCATGCTAGTTTTTAGGTCTTTGCTTGTGAGACTTTTTATTCCAGTGTCATAGCAAGTCTGGATAGCTGCCTCTTTTCTCCTTTTTTAGGAGTATGTATATGGGAGGGTAGACATAGAAGATTCTGCCCCAACTGCCTTGAAGGGTCTGTAAAGAGATGTTGACTCCTTTTAGTACCTCCTTTGGGCCTTAAAGGATAAACTGTGATGAGATCTAACCAACATTTGAGGCTGGTTCAGTGAGCAGGTTCTGTTCTCTAATAGCAGCATTAAACTATAAGTAAGCTAATTTTTTACAGAATGTTCTTACAGAAACTTTGTAGGCATTATATGCCCCACTTGTTGCAAAATATGAAATGTGTTTTTTCCCAGAGAATGATGCCCAAAGATCTTAGTATAATTTGTTTAATGTTTATAGTTGTTAATTTCCTCTTTTTCTTGAGAGAGGAAAACCATTAGGTTTGTGGTTAATTATAAGGAAAATTTAGGTCTATAAAGGGGAAACGAATCAAGGGTCTTCTGGAAAAGCTGGCTGCTAGATATTCTAAAATTTGAAATGTGTTCAAATGTACAGTGGTTGAATATTGTTGTTCTAGGAGGACAGATTACTCTAGCACAATGGTCTTTCAAACATTTAAAAGCAGAACTGTTTCCCAAGTATTATTATATACAGGACCCAGTCCCCAAATGGGATTGCTCTAGTTGAAGAGGGCCACCAGCTGCTCCACCTGCCTAGGGAACACCTGAAGGCAAATCCTTGCCCCCCTCCCCCCACTAGCAGGAGGATCAGTGTTTTTCTCTTGAAATACTTCCTCCTCTGCCTTCTGGGGGCTGTCTCAGTATTCTGGTGCTGAACAAAACAGCCTTTTGTTGCCCTTAGCATTTTATTTGCAAGCTTAGCACTCTCTGTACTGTAGCCTCATTGATCCATTCTTACAGTGCTTGTCACCCTCTTGTATTTGTCGTTAGTTAAATGTCACATTTTTTCCAACTTTTAAATGACCTGTGCATGCATAATTGTTTAGAGTTTAGGGATGAGGCAAAAGTTATATCTTGCATACCAACTCTGATTAATGCTGACAGGAGCATTATACTGAAGAATTGAGGGCCCCTTCCAGGCCCAAAGGGTAAGAGTCTGCAGGTAGTTGGGAGGTGTATGTGTGTAGTATTGGCAAACATTTGCCTATGACTTCCCTCTTCTTTTGGTGTTTGCACCTGTGGGGTAACAGTCAGTTGCATTTTAAAGAGTCATCTTCCTTTTTAGAACTTCCTACAGTGCAATTGGGTCAATTTCCTGTGAATTCTTTGAAATATACTTCTTTACAATCTAGGATATGTATTTGTGTTCAAGTCACTCTCTTCTTAGCTGTTACTAAAATCAATAGGGCGAGGTTGGGTTATACTGTAATAATGACCCAAAATTTTCGGAGGTTTAAAACAACAACATTTATTTTATGTTCACACTGGGTCAGCTGCGAGCTTTGCCCCGTGTTGTCCTCTTTCTGAGACTTGGTTCTGTAGAAAAGGCCTCCTTTTGAGTGGTATCAGTCATCATAGCATAAGAAAAGTGTGTCATGCCTCACGACACATAATATATTGACTCTTAAAGCTTCCAGAAGTTACATATATCACTTTGTACATTTCATTGACCAAATCAAATCATGACCATAGCTAAGTCAAGGAAGTATAATTTTAACATGTGTAGAGAACTAGAAACAATTGGACAGTCCATCCTTTTTGTCAACAAATATTCTCCTTCCTACATGTGGTTCATCCTTGGCGCTTCCCAGTGGAGATAACCCCAAAATCTTATTGAGTCTTCTGTGTCAAACTCAGAGTCCAGGATCTTGTGAGTAATGCCCAGTAGCAATAATCTCTTGTAATTTCTGTCAGTCTGGACATTGTAAGTTATCTGTCTCCCATCCTCTGTTTAAGACATAGGGTAGTGTAGGGACAGTTAGCTATAGTAACTATTCCCATTTGGAGAGGAGAAGAATGGAAGAAACATACCAGACTCAAGATTGTAGCAATTTTGAAATCTTGCTGGGCAAATTTGCTAGGGCTGTAGTTCTGTTCCCTTGGTTCTCTAGGCCAGTGCTTCTCAAACTATCTCTTTATGAAAAACCAGTTTGGTTTGTTTTGCTGAGGAAGATTCACCCTGAGCTAACATCTGTGCCAATCTTCCTGTATTTTGCATGTGGGTTGCCACCACAGCATGGCTGCTGACAAGTGGTGTAGGTCCGTGCCCTGGAACTGAACATGGGCTGCCGAAGCAGAGCATGCCAGACTTAACCAACAGGCCATGGGCTGGCCCACCAATTTGTTTTTTTAAAATTTCCAGTCTACTTTGAAGTTTTGTTAAACATGATAAAAATGAATTATAAGAAAAATGAAATGAAAAAATGTATCAAATGACAAGCCCAATTTAAAAACTATTAGATTCAACAAACACAAAATTACTATGTGAAATTGCTATAAAAGCTTTTAAACATTTATGCTCAATTTCTCTGTTTATCTCGTTATGGTAAATCAGTAACAAACAGTTCGTGTTCTGGCACATGCCCTAGAGCATAGTTTTCCATGGTCCTTGTCTTTCCCTGCAAGAGGTCCTTTCATTTTTATTATCCTTGGCCACATCTGAAGTTGGCTTTGGAGAGTAATGGTGTCTTTCTATGGCTGAGCAGTTTTGTCAGCTTGCTTCCTGGCCATATGAGAGTGGGGGCCTAAG